TTATTATTTAACCAAGTAGTTTTTTTTTTTTTTAACGCTGGAGTTATTGCAAATCATCGAAACGTATCAAGAGTCAAGACCACATGGTCCAAATACAGAAGAAAACAAGTAGAATTGAGAAAACAGGCTCATATCCTAAAGGAAAGATAAAAAGAAACTATTGTGACGCCTTTCAAGCAATCCGGTCGGCCAACCAAGCCGGCCCTCCTAAGGCTAAGTAGGACTGAAACCTACCATCCCTTAATACACTCTTCGCAATATCTCGAGCTACTGAATTTGAGCAACTAGCTTCCAACTCGAAAGAGCAACAATCAAATTTGGGTATAAAAAGAAGAATATTTTCTTTTATAAAAATGAAGTAGTTTTGGGTATAGGTCCGTAATTTCTTCGAGCCAAAGCCAAAAACAGGTTAATATTAGTTCCTTCCCTATCGTCAAAGCTCCAACTCGGTACCTTTCTCATTTAGAGCCCGATTTCGTCCGTTGAGCTGCTAGCACGGGCTAAATCTTACGTTTGAATTATAGTGTACCAAGTTCTATGTGTTGAACTACATATACAGAGAATAGTCCACTAGAGAAAAAAAAAAAACAAACACAAAACTTTGTTACACCACTAGTATAACCAAAATAAATACACACATATATATACATCCACAGTCAAGAAAATAAAAGAAAAATCATGAAGAAGAAGAATTAGGAATTGAGAGGGTTTAGTGAAGAACAAGATCACGAAAACCTCGTTTAGAGGCTAAGCCAATAACACACAACATGTAGAACACTTTCCCACTCTTCACTTTTGATTTTACTATTGCCTTTCCTTTCTCCACTTTCATCTTAGCCTTAACCAACACTGGCCTCTGCGATTCTCCTAACCGCTCTCGCTCTTCTACTTCGGGTTCTTCCTCGATCGTCTCTAGCCTGCCCTTTAATATCTCCTCCAAGTCTTTCCCCAACTCACATATCCTCTTAGTCTGTCATAACACAACACCTTTTAAATTTTCATCTCGATATATATTGAAAATATATGGATCCAAAATCTTGGGTTTATTTTCATATACCTCGCAATCACGGTGTAAGTTTTTCTTGTTCTTCCTTCGATGTACAACCCACCACATCTTCCTATACACCAGACTCCTCATATAACCTTCTTCCTTCTTCAAAACCTTTTCTTCAATTGTCACATCAGTTTCTCTTAGAGTTTGTAGAAATTGTGATGACTTTCACCAACCCTTTACATGATTTATAATGATACTCTTTTTATTCTCTCAAAGTGACAAAAAAAGTTGGTTACTTTACAGACAAGATTCAATCTTTAAATGTGTTGCTTCCCATTATAGCACATATTAAAAAAAACGAGGTGGTTGTCACAAATCATCACATTCTATTTTGTAAAGTTTTTCATGTTCTGTAAAGGCATCTCAGCTCCTTTATCATGCTATCTCTCTTCTTGCCTTTTTCTTTTCTCTCCCTTAATTGATGCTTTACCAGTCACGCTTAATCTCCAGCAATTATATCAAACTAGGTGATCGGCATTTCTAGTCTATTCATTTCTTGTCAACTATTAATCCTTAATACCATACAAACTAATTCTACTCATTTTTGTTCCCTTGTATATATAAGAAAGAAAGCACACAAATCAGTAGGGATGCTAAATAGGGCTACACATCCCTGAAATTTGAAAGCGTAGCCTTGAATGAGTCTTGACCCTGAATGAGCCTTGTCAGATTTTAAACAACGGGTTTAGGTCTTGGCCCTGAACAAACCCTGTAAGATATTAAGCAAATAATTTAAAGTTTAAACTTATTGAACATGTTACTAAGATATAGATTTAAATTTGACAATTGTTTTTGTAAACAAAGCATTGGCTTAAAATTCATTTTTGGATATTAAAATCCACAAGTCTCTTTATACTGTTAAATACGTGAAACCAAATTTACTTAATAAAATATTGTTATTTAAATCATAAATCAAGAATAGTTACAAAAGATAATATAACACTTACAAAAGATAAGAAGAGACTTTTTTTCAAAAATGACAAATATATAAAATGAGCTTTGTATTTTAGACTTTTATATTAAATAAAAATGAGTTTTGTATATTACATTTTTTCTTAAAAAAAAA